GAACTTTACCTCAGGTAATAAATTTTGCCAAGCACTACCAAATATTAAGACACCTACATAGATTTTTGCAGTCATGAAAAGAATAATTTCAATGACATTTTCGTTCATGAAAGCAATCGTGTAAAAAACAATACGTGACATCTATTTCTACTCAATAGTGTGAGTAAAAGTGTTTATTAAAGCTTTTTCAAAGGTATATAGCAAGCAAAAAATCTCTCTTGTTGGTTCCAAGACTTCATGATATTTTTGATATTGAGAGTTATAAAAAATATTTTCCTCTGCATTCAGGTTTATGAAAAAAAGAAAACTAATTATTTTCAGTAGATATTTTTCGATAGATTTTCTTTGGAATAATAATATTAGATGATCGATTTGCGTTTACATGGCCTATGTTGAATTCTGTAGAAGAACTCCATGAGTCATCAGTATCAGTCAAATCGCAATGAAAAAAGGCTAAAGCGTTTTCTTTCAAGCCTTGTGGAACCCAGAAACAGTAGCAGATATTATATAGTTTCTCCACCCTTTTTTCTTTTAACCGCATCACGTTCCAGGGTATCTTTTTGGTGAATTGGTCGGGCTCCAATTAAGCCAGCAGGCGCCAGCGTTCTGCTTCCGGTGGTTCACCGACAAATCGTTGGCCCAATCTTTATATTGTATGAATTACATCGAATTAAGCTGCTCGTTGAACATTTTATTTCATTTTTTTTTCATCGATTCGAAATGGCTGGAGAGTTTTCGCTGGTTGGATAAAATGTTATCATTTTTATCTTTTTAACCGACAAAAGGAGGTTCTTTGTTTGATCTGTACGTAAGTATGTAGGTATGTATATTTCTGCGCAAATATTTCGCGATTGGTCCAATTGATTTAGATGCGGTCTTTCAGAAAAGTGTAAAGTGTTGGGTACACATAGGAGACGGTTTCAATATATTTATGTTAACTGACTACAAAAAAAAGGGGGCTTGAAGTCGGTTTTACGTAGTATTATTATTTTGTAGTTTCATGGAATACCCATAAATTTTCAAGTTACTTAGAAAAAAATGCGATAACTTCAAGATGGAGCTTTGTTTTAATTATATGGCGAGCTTTGTGTGAGTGTAAGAAAAAACTATTAAGATTTTTTTTAGCTGCAAAAGTTTGTTAGTTGTTCTGTTTATTTTTATCTTTATTATTTAAAATGATGTAATTACAAAATAAAGCTGACTATAAGTGAAATGAACCTAAAATTCTTTACTTCTTTACTTACGTAGCTTTACGAAACAAACGAGTATTACGAGTATCTACATTATGTCATGTACACTCTTATTCAGTACCGTACTTATTTCAGGCCACTGCAATCAAAGTTCATTGCCGCGTAATTACGATCAATGATTGGAATTTTGATATTATGTGATGATTAAAAAATCGTATCGTGATCAGGGAATCAATTTTATGAATTTGGAAGTCCTGATGATGAGTCTTTGAGTATATTGTGATCAAACACTGAATGTTAAAAGAAATATCGCATCTAAAAGTCGGTTCTACAGTTTGTTTATCTCTCAGTTTTTATCTGTGACTGCTATCAAGTGATTGCTAGTGCGACTACTGAGCTGGGGGTCCCGGGTTTGAATCACAAGTCAAAATAAGTATCATTATTCGGTTATTTGGAAATTAGAGGCCGATGCAGTTGTATCGTAACTATATTAGTAGATTGACCGCCTTCTGCCATTCCCTATAGGTAACTTGATTACACTCAATTTGAGAACAATTAGCCTGTCCGTACGTACATCTTGCAATAACTGCCATATAACAAACAAGTTAACATAGCAAAAGTGATATGAATATGACATATTTCAAATAATAACAGAATTAAGTATTTAATTAAGTCAAAAATGTATCAAATATACCTAAAGCGCTTATAACTTGAACAGGTCATGTTTTGTAGGTCAGCTACAAAATGCATTGGCATTCAAAACAAATTAGACTATAATCATATTCGAATTGTTATACATTATGTAAGAACAGTAATTTGTATGATTATCCGATTATAGACAGAATGGAACCCTATTATGGGTCACCAGAACGTTAAATTTCGAGCTCGCGTAACAAAGTAGCAATAAACGTCTCGAAGACAAGACACGCTAATCGAACCCCTCCTCATTACCATATAAATATCATTCGGGGATGGATATAATTACAAAAAAGACCGATTTTATATTTTCGTCTGCCTTGGGACGTCCTTCGATAGAAATATTTCAAAGGACATTGCACTTCGGTTCAGATCGTATTTTTCCGGTCCGGTTCGGGGATGTACGGCGATGCACTGAGATATCCTGGCCGGGACCTATTTGGCAGTGTATCGAGTGTTTTAAATTATTTCGAGAAGGAAACGTGGAGATAAGGCAGTGCGCAGTGCAGCATCCTTGGGATCGCAGTGCGTCGGCCAGAGTGGCGCCGGCCACTTGGCACAGCTCTCGGTCAACGTCCTCTGCCTCCATAAAAGCCTCCACAAGCTTGAGCCAAAACAATTTCGCCAAATTTCTTGCCAGTACCCTAACACGCATGATTTTACGATCCTTTCACTCCTCTCTCATCTGGATCGGCTCGTTTATTTTTGGCGGAGCAACTCGTGATATTTTTATTGAAATTCGAGGCGCCTCGGTATTTATTTATCGCGTTATCAGATCAGACATTGCCTTCACATTCTGGTGTTTATTGCAAACATTGCCTGAAATTAACTATGCGGTTAGTTGGTGATCCTATTCTAACTACTTAGTTGTTCTAAGTGTCAATTAATTATGTAAATATTAATTGTTTCTACCTTGACTTATTCTTTCCGATAAGTATTGAAATTAGGTAAGTGGAGAATTATTGTCGATGGATGCTTTAAATATCACTTCAAGCTACCTGTTGAACACCTTGATACAATTAAGTAAAAATCTTTTTTAATTTTTAGTTTAATTTTATAATGAAACACTTGTGATCGTAAATATTATTTATCTTCGATGCTTACTTGTAGATAACCTTAAATATTATTATGATAAAATCTTCAGGTATCATTCCTTATATTATTCTAGACTCTGCTTAAAATCTGAGACCTTGTGCATAGGCACTGCAATCACCAAAGTACCAAAACACGACTACACGTACCACAGCAATAAATTTCAGTACAAAATTTGATAAATTGCACCCCCTAACCCTCATTCTTCTAATGTGTTCCAAATTGCAGAGAATTTGGCCTCGTCTAAGTTATAAACTGATTCCGATTAATCAGGCCCACAAAAAGTATGCTGCTAATAATTTATATTGATTCCTACATCGATCGTACATCAAACCAACGCGATATGGGTTGGCTTTGGGACCTCGACAGATAGAGGTCAAAAGGTGTTATATATCCGACTCAAGCGAAATAATGTTTAGTGTATTTAGTACTTCCTTATCTAGCACTCACACAATGCCAGTGACTAATAAAAAAATCAACAAATAAGTGCGAAATTCCGAAGCTATTGTTCTCAGCTTTCGGGCGCCTAGCGCCTGTCAGAGAAACTCGTGGGTGCGGGATGCAGACAGACATGTCATTGAAGTTATTTTAAAAAACATTGCATTATATCAAAACACTCATAAGACTTGCTTTATTTCAGGTACGAATCCTCATATAATCAGTAGGTAGTAAAGTAACAATGAAACTCAATCAAAAATGTTTTGGAGGAAAAGTATAAGACACAGACGTAAGCACCTACATATATACTATTTTTAAATCAGATAATATTGGTTAATGCCTTTGGACGCATAAACATAAATAACAAAATATTTACACCTTAGATTGAAAGAAAAAGAAAGAAATGGAAAACTACAGTACGAAATTAAGTCACTTTCTGTTTTGCCATTTTATGAAAATGCATGAATAATGTCGAGAATAATGACGTATAGCCTAAATTAATAACCAAGTTTATTACAAAATAGACCAAAAACTTTGATTTGGTATTCCAAATTTAGGTATTTGACAGACTTTCTATTTATCTATATATCGTTTTTTGTTTCTTCTCGTCTTATAATATGTTTTGATTTATTTCGTTGAGGTAACCAAGACATTAATTCATGTCCCAGAGACGCGCTGGGTCAGTATTCCGATGTTTTCAAGGTTAAATCTACTGTAGATCTTGGCGTACAGGAGTTGCAGCAGTTTTGGCAGGTTGTGGTGGCATTGTGTCATAAAAAATCGACTGCACGGTTGGTGCGGTGGCTGGGCAACCGGCTGCCGTGCAACGTGTCGCGGGTTCGATTCCCGCACGGAACAACACTTTGTGTGATCCACAAATTGTTGTTTCGGGTCTGGATGTCATTGTGTATGTGAACTTGTATGTGTGTAAACGCACCCACGATACAGGAGAAAATCCTAATGTGGTTCATTTAAAAAAAAAATATAATAAAATTTACCTTATGTCAAAATTGATAATTGGTTTCCATGCATTGTTGTAGATCTCGAATAGCACGATTTTTTTTTATTCTAGAAAGCATTGGTAATAGTAAATGTCTTCCTATGTCTCATCAAAAGATATATGAATTAACAATGTTCATTTATGAAAAAACATCAGTAAAAGGAACCATAGAGGTATAATTCCAAAAATTTCTCTGCTAAAATAGAATTTAGGCTAAAGGAATAAAGATAATGAAATTAAGGTAAATACGGAAATATTCAACATCGATAATATAATCTTGTGTGATCACGATACAAAACACCTAAGACAGCAAGTTCCAATGTACTTAGGATAAGGAAGGTCCATAATAGCATTCACTTCGAGCAAATATTTAGGGTCTGCCTAGGCCTAGACTATTTACATTCTTTTGATATACCCGTAGTTATATCTGTATATTAGATTCAAATGGTATTTAATACTGTCCCCATATTGGTAGGTTGTTAAAACTATTTGAAGATCAAGTTTTAAGGATGTATATAGAGGTATAAGGTCACATTAAAAAATAAAGATCATTTAGAACTTTTAGCAATATAAATTTATTATCACATTTTATAAATAGGTCTAAATTTAAAAATATCTAAGCCCTTATAACTAAAGTATAAATTATATTTATCTTAACACTTTCTTAGACCGAGTGATGTCCAATGTACGACACACTTTTGTACTTTAAAATTTCCAAACGAATTTATACATTACAAATGGTATGGAGGTTGATCTGTCCATCACAGCGCGTCAATGATATCCTGGCTACGTTAAATTCAAATGTCATATTCGTGAACAATATTTTGATCTTGAACTAAATGATGGTGATCGTTAAATAAATTGAAGTCAGTCGGAAGATGAATGAGGTTACAATGGAAAATGCAACATCGCCTACTTATATCAAAATACTGATTCAGAGGATGATTATGAGATTTTTCATTTAGTTGACTTTTTCGTATATCCACTTGCCAGAGTACGGAGTTTCTAATCTCTTCACTGAGGGACGGAAACCGTTCTCGTCGGCGGTGTAGTCTACCCTGTACATGAAACCGTCGGGTCCAATGTACTCGTAGAAACCCTTGGAAGCAATGCCTTCATCAATGGTGTTGGGGTTCTTCAGAACAGCCTTCTCTTCAGCACGGATCTTGTTTTCAGTTTCGAAACTACAACAAAGAAAGAAAAATTAATTCATGTTTTTGTGACGATTGAATCTATTTAAATGTCTAAGTCTTATCTGGTCTATCATCTGATATTTTATAAATTTTATTACTTTTGAACACGTGTGTAACAATATAATCCTCATAAAATGTCAGTTATGTCATTTCCGTGTAAATTTAATTAATATTTGATTTGGTATTTGATGTTTCTGTTTCATTGTTAACAATATTTTAATCGACTCTAAACCGATCTCTCATCACAGTTATTGTAACAAGCTCGTATAATGTCAATTTGGCTGTCATAAATGATTATAAATTATTTTGAACTATGACCCGCTGGCGTTTTGTGTGTGTCAAGGCAGTTTTACATTTTAGTGTATTGATCTGTTTTATTCCTATTGTGCCCTCAAGGACTGCAATCTTTTTGTTTGAAAAGCTTCCTCTAATAACTTTATTATCTCCAACATGATTAATATTAGCTACTTCAATATTGATGAAGTGCTTGACTTGAATAGATGAAGTATTTGTAAGAGTTATTGTATGTGTTTTGGTATTCATGTTATTTTATCCGGCGCTTCGATTTACCGCTGCATATAAAGATATCTCGGATACGGAATACACGACCGCGCAATTTATAACTATACTCAAGTGAATGATACCTTTATTAGCTTGCATGTTCGATGTTTATTGGTCTACGCCCCGCGGGATTACGGTAAAATGGTAATCGAATGGATTATATCAAGAATTTTCCACTACTGTTTATAATTCAGCAATTTCTGAAGTGTTACATATGCAAACAGCCATGATAAGCTTGACATTCTGCGATGCAAGGCTAAAATTTGTGTAGGAGACGGGAAGCCAATAAATCGGTACATTACGCGCCTTTAGTATGTAAATGCTTTATTAACATAAGTTGACGTTAAAAAAGTTGTAAATCAATTACATTTTATGAATAAAGTTTCGTCTATTCATGAATTAATTATTGTTAAAAATAACTTTTTATCGATTCAGAGCTTTTAAATTTGGTTTTATGTTTTGGAATATGCGTTCAGACTATTTTTTGAGATTAGATTAGACTTTCTTTCCACGAGAGATATTTTAGTCCAAAAATATCGTGAAGGTTCGATTCGAAACAAAGTAAGACGTTGCAGTTTGCACTTGTTATTTTTCATTGTGATTGCTGAATATATAAATGCAAATCGGATCTCGCTTACGAATAAGAATTCTGTGAATAAAAGGTCGTGATCGAGTTTCATTTAGTGACGAATCTTACATTTGTTTACCTACATTGAACAAAAAATTGCAAATCGTTTGGAACATTTAAGATTATTTTTCGTTTTATGCTACTTATTGAAATTAGGTTGAGGTTTTATGTCAGATCTGGTTTGAATTTAGTACTTATTCGATTTTTACGATGACATTGATGTAGGCTAATATTCTAGAACGGTCTAATGTTGTTGTTTGTGACGAATACTTACTCGAAGTCGTATTTGTCCTCCTTGTAGTTGTGGTTCTGCTTAATGATCTTGATGCCATTGTTCTTGTAGTATCCATCTTTGTAGAAGGGATTATCTTCTCCTGGGTACTTGATGAGCTTGTACTGGTCTACTGATGCCTCTCCGACATAAGGTTCATAGTCGTGTGAATAAGGTCCGAAGCCTCCATCGTAAGGGTTGTCGATGTGGATGTAGGGGTTCGGAATGTGAATGTACTTGCCCTCATTGCCGGGAATGTACCTATGAAAGGAAATTTTATTTAAATATTCTTGACGATTTGGGTTTATTTGTCTGTCAACAGTTTTAGTATGCACTTTCTTCTATTTTATGGTAAACAAACCGTTAGCCATTCTATCGCGACTACTTAAGTTTAGCATAACGCTCCAAATTAAAATCTCTTTCAAATAAAATCGACGGACTAAATAATCTATTATGTCTCTTATTGTGTTCCGTATTAAAGTTCAATCTAGGTTCCCGATAAACTTGAGCGTATTTTTACAAGTTTTGTTGTTTTACGGAGATTAAATAAGCTTGGCCTAGTTCGACTTCGACTGCAGGTAAATTTTATTTACGTCAAACTTTAAACTCTACGAGAATTTGCAAGGGATTAGCAATACATAGAGAGAACAAATCGCTGATATTTAAATGCAGGTATTTGAAACTAACTGGAAATAGTAAATTGATAACTATCTTGAATGCGGAGACTGAGAGTGGATTTAATGTCTAAATGAATACAAACAAGTCGCTTTGACATTTACTTACTTGCCATCATCTCCATATTTGTAAGGGTTCCACCTGCCGTCTTCGCTAGGAGAAGGATACGCGGTCGCAGCCGCAACAATGCAAAGGGCAACGGTAATCTGAAAATATATTTTTTTGTTATTACCCATGTACAATTTTATCTACAAATTTTGTAAAGAATAAAAAATGTTTAATTTAATAAATAAATCAAATATGATAAATAATAAATAAAATTATTTAAAGTATGATTTAAATTAAAAAAAATTGAATATTAAAATAATAAAAAAACAAAGCTTGGTGTACGTACCTTCAAAGAAAACATCCTGACAGGACACTTCACGCAAGTTTCTTGAAAAAATAAATGTTCGAACAACTTGTAACGTTACAGGTCTTCAGGCCACTTGTCACTGTAACCGAACTCGGTAACACAATGCGGAAATTTAATTCACGGTCACTCTACTGTCCGTGTGTACACTCCTTAGAGGATTTCAAATCGTTATGTTGATTTCGAAATCGACGCTTCGCTTTTATACATTTGCAACATCAACTCATTTCATGCGCAGGAACAGTCAACACACACGCGCGCCGTGCGTCATACGCGAGCGCCACACATACACACTTAACGCATTTTTTTATCATCTTTGCATACCATTGTTGGCCAGAGTTACTTTATTGGGGTATCGGTGTCATATAGAAAATTATACTCGGTTTTAAAAGCACTTAACTAATCACGGATGGTCGTGAAATTGAAATCAGTGAATCTTCATGAGAAATTACCGCATCTAAGTACATTGGCGCAAGATATTTTTTTCTTAAACGATGGCAGAAGATTATTTTTTCGAATTAAATGATTCACCTTTTCTGAGACAAATATTTTGGTTGTCCTCGCGTAATCCTGCCTTATCTGTATACTTGTTCAATTTCAATATACTAAAAGTTTCAATAAACATTATATTTTTTTTATTTTACATTTGTTATTATTGTTTCGGTTCCAATTTGTTCGTGAATAAATATTTTTAAATGGGTAATAATGACAATGTCACTGTGGTGTCGATGTTAAGTGTTATTCGATGTTGTTATTTTTTAATTACGACAAATTTTTAAATTAGTTTGATGTTTTCTGTAGTGCAGTGTGCTCTTTTATTGTAACATATTCAAAGTGTTAAATAAAATGCTATTTTATTCGTAGCTTCGATTATAATTACGTGGATCAGGAGTGGGGCTCATTTCTAATGTATATTTCTACATTATGCATTATTTAATGAGGATCTTGACTCGTAGAAGGTAAGTTGGTAATAACCTGACTTAGACATATAGTTTGTATGTTTACGATTGTGATATGATCTGTCATGAGCAATAATACCTTATTAATGCATAATAATGGATGTTGTAGAATGTGTATGGTGCTGTATTGTATACTTAGCTTAGTATTTATTGTACAATAATATAAAAAATAGGTACATCGTGCCAAAGCAAATAATTAAGAATAGATATGTTAGTCTTATTGAATTATATTATTCAAGATTGAATAAATTATACAAAAAACATAAACGATACGAAAACTATATGTAGGTATTTTTAATAGGCATAATTATTTTTAATATCTATAATATCTTTTTTAATTGATGCGCCTGATATTCATGAACTTATATTAAGGGGACAAAATTGAAAAATAAAATGGTTGTCTTATTAGTGTTACAAAATATTTTAATACATTATTAGATATATATTTACAGATTATTATTTATATAGTTATATTACGTTAATATTTTACATTCCGGATATTCATTTTATAGAATTTCACACCATTAACTAAATTATTCTATTTTGCATATTACGATGTATCGTAAAAAGGTGGGATTACCCACCCGTTGCTACTTTTTCTACAAAAAGTAAATAATGTTAAAATTCAAATACCTAAGTAAATAAATGTTTGGTAGACCCAGTGATTTATTTTATCAATTTATAAGAAATAAGATTAATGAAAGTTCTTCAGTGTTTTTGCACTCTTTGTATAGAGTTGAAAATTTATGAAATTGAATCAATTTTTTTTTCTCTAAAAATAGAATAAAAAAGTCATGAATTTTATTGTTTTATGCTTCGAATGTTTATGTTTTAAAAGAAAGTTATTTATGATTGAAATGTGCTTGCGTTGTGGAAGGTCAGGCAAGGCCGAAACATTTTTATTGTATTTACGTTGACTATTAACTTTTTATACAATGTTACGAAATACCTATTTTACTGTGAAATGGAAAGTAATAGAATACCTGTTAGTGTTTATGATTTTAGGAATGATATATTATCCTTGTTGACTCACTCTCTGCTATCAAAGTAAAGTTTAAAAATCGGGCCAAAATTTATAAGTAAAAAATGTAATTATATTGTAAAAATACATGTTTTTATAATCCTTTAGGGAATAACGCTCATTTCAATCATAAATTTTGTATTACCAATCAGACTGATACGCTAAAGATCAAACAAAATAATTTTTGGTCCATATAACGCAATATTTCCTCGTATTAACATCCTTCCAGGTATACAACAAGCGAACATAACAAAAACAATTAACATTAACAATTATTATGATAACATTAATTGAGTACAAGAAATATTTTTATTCTTTACTACATATTTGATATCGCAAGGCCGGAGGTCAATGCTACTGTTAACAAATTTTGTATTTAATATTTTTATTTATAATTATGTCTATATGGTAGTAGTATAAGTAATATTAGAGTCACTTAAGGGGCCAGTAGAATACCAGCGCAAAGCTCTGTCTTGCATATGCTGAACTGGTCACATTTCACCGTAGACTTAGGACATTAGTATTTCTGAACAGTATGAGTGTACCTTATCTGTATGTGTCGCCTATTTATAGCGTGTGAAATAAAGTTTTTTCTTTCTATTAGATATAGGCATGTGTATGTTCTACATAACATAATAACACTCGAAGCTTGAGGCTTGAGAGAGAAAGTAATAAACACTATCTTTTCTCCAGTTACCTACGTTGTTTAAGAACGTGGTATAAACCTCTTTGTATGTTCCTTGATGACCTATAAGATATACCTATGAGGCATCTTACTTAGAAACATTTTAATTTGGAATTTCTCGTGACCACGATCAATGTCAAAATGCCGATATAGTCACGTAGCAGCAATCATCAACAAATCATAATTTTTCTTTCGAAAAAAAGTCCCGATATCATTATGGTTTCTAAATGTATCATTGGCGAACTACTTAGAATTGGATAGGGTTAAAAAACCCAAAGCGACATAATACTTTCAGGAACATAAGTGCAAAGGTCACATTATCACAACTAAACAAGAATTCGTCATAGAAATTATTCATAACATTCTGACGTCGGGTCGTCGTCGCTCGATAACATTCAACTAATTCATTAATACTAATGATTCCATTTATGTCCGCTTTTAGATACAAATATTGACGTTTTCTTCTTCGAAACAACCCTACTTGTTTGTCACGAAATACTTGAAATAATTACCTATTGACATTCCTGGGAAAATTTGATCCTATGGCGCCGGTGACGCGTCAAAAATGGCGCCAATGGTCACGTCGATTGCTAATTTATTCTAATTAATTTTTTTATTCGATATTTGAAACATCTGCTACTTAACTGTAGCAGTGTTGTGATAGACTGTTTATTTTTTTATCTTTGGAATGTAAGACGTCAGTTAAAACTATTTTAATTTGTCTATGGCATGTTGTTGTATACAGCCTAATTTTATTATTTGTTTATTTTTTACGTTCGCTGACAGATATTTTTTCTTGTTTTCCTTTTCAACTCCAATAGGTAAATCCTACGTTATCATCTCTTAGGAACTTATCAATTCTGAGGACCTAAGAATGTGAAAGATTATAATCGACAGTTTTAATCTTTATGAATTCTTTATTTCTATAATACAGTAGCTGACCTTTTAAAGTCAATAGTTGCTCTTAGAAACACTTATCATATTTAAAATATTATAATATTTCCTATATCGACAAAACTATACCAGATTTCAATTTCAATTTTAATGTGAACATAAATCTTTATTGCCAAATACCAAATTATGGAGTCGAATTTATTAACTAAGAATAACTACAAATAAGCGTTTGACAAATAGAGCATATTTTCGTTAACAGGGTAGGCAGAGGTACCAAGAAAAGTAAGTCGATAAATCTATACATACTCATTGTTCACATCTTAGTTAGACCAGTTTCAGGCTTAAAAACTAAATTTTGCTTCTACACGGAATATCAAAGTCACAAACTAAAAATATTACAAAATCAAAAATCGAACAGATTCGCACACTCAGGACCAATGACACAATAAATATTTAAATAATTAAGTTAACGGGTGAGATTATTTTAGTACTCAAATCCAGTTTTAGTTTTTTTTTTAATTTCGTGTATCTGTGGCCTGGACTTTATATCCCTTGGTAGGAATGCAACCTAATTGATTGTAAATCGATTAAGATCCGAATTCAATTTGCGAGTTCAACTTTTAGCTGTGGCATTTATGTATGTATAAGGTTTTAACAAAAAATATTGCTTAAAGGTTTTAAAAATATTGCATTTGGGAAATTTTTGGGCATCAATTTCTAAGACGTTAAATGTTTTTTATCTTTCCTTGAACTGTCATAAAAAGCAATTTATTTATTTTTAATAGCACATAAATTTAACTCGTCGAGTACCGTCATTATAGACACAATTATAGAACAATAGGTTGCGATCACCGGTGACCGCTTGGTGTTTGACAGTTTAAATGGTGTGAAAATAATTAATTACAAGTTCAAACCCCAGGTACTAAGTAGTACCTCACCTACTTACTAAGATATTTTAAAAATGTTAAGTTTGGAAAATGCTCTGTTCAGACTCTCTCTATAAGGATCTTAATTTTTCTGTCTCAAAGGGTATCAAAGGGTCATAGTTAAACAGTGTTGCATAGTAATTAGTTTTTTAGTGAGATAAAATCATCCAATTACTTTTTCAGCCTTCAGAGGCAAAAAGGAAATGTCACATTCGTACTGACTAAAGACCACCCCGTTCTCAGTTCTGCTCTTCAAGCCGGAGCCCGTAGTCCGTACCCGTAGTCTTCCGCAGCTTCGTATCAACTACATAAATTGGTTTGCTGTAATCCAAGTATAACGGGAAGGTTGGAGATCGTAGTTGAAGTTCAAGTGAATTAGATAGCGCTGCTAGACAGCAGCAGAATTTGGTCTTTTCCAAATACATACATATATACGTGTTTAAAACATTGCCCAATACAAGGATTTTATCCTGTGTCGTGGGTGCGTTTACAATTTGCGGATCACCCAAAGAGTTGCTCTGTGCGGGAGTCGAAGCCGTCGCACGTTGTGCGGCAGCCGGTTGCCACCGCGCTAACCGTCTTAGTCGGCGCTTATGACATCCATATGAAGAGAAGAGATGGTGATATCACCATACAGTACCTAATTAGGACCTATTAGGTATTGGTATAGGTAGCCTAAGTCTTTTCGTGAACTTGA